GGGGCTCGATCCCAGGACCCTGGGATCATGACCTGAGCCGAAGGCAGAGGCTTTAACCCACTGAGCCACCCAGGCGCCCCTGTTTTTTTTTTTTTTAATTTAAATTCAGTTAGCCAACCTGTAGTACGCCGTTGGTTTGTGATATAACGTTCATCAGCGATTCATCTGTTGCCTAGAACACCTGGTGCTCATCGCATCACGCGCCCTCCTTAATGCCCACCACCATACTTCATTTTAAAATGTTTTCCACTTTATTTCAATGCAGGAAACAATCCAGTAACCCATGAACGTGGGCGAAAAAGGCCTTCTGCAGAAACACTTGAGGAAGATGTCGGGTAATGTGCTCATAGTATTTTCACTCGCCAGATCAAGTCAACTTGGCTTACATAACAATTATTCTCTGTAAAATCCCAGAATGAGACATTTCCTCCAAAGCAAATATGATCTCTGTTTATCCTTAATATTGTTTGATATAACTTCTTCACAGGAATGAAGTACAGAAGATGCTGCAAGAACTAGAAGGTACGCTTAAATGATATTTGCAGTGAAAAAAATTAGTTTTAAACCGTATGGCTTTTATAATTGAAAATGTTAATGAGGGATCTGCAACGCTGATTTTAATGCCTTGTTCTCGTATGTAGGATATTATACAAGTATTTAGTGTGATTCAACTTTGCAAGTTTCTTTACTGACCTTTTCCATTGTTGATGTGGAAAAGTAAAAATGGTACTAACATTGATGAGGTAAGAATGATGCTATTATTTTATACATGTTTACATTTCATATAAATTAATATAAATTAAATGAAGAAAAGTGCGTACCTCCTTTTGTGTACAGATATTAGGTGATATATCAATTTTTCATGTCAATTTTAAATTTTCTTAATTTAATTACTTTTCATGACTTTCCGGTGTCCTAGTCTTTGGAGTAGCAGCAAAATTGAATCCTCTAAAAAACAAACAAACAAAAAATTCTTTATTGTTATTTTTCATTAGCAAACCGTGTAGCTGCAAACTAAAGAACTCTCCCAGCTAGTGAGAAATATATAATCACACCCAAACTCCCAAGTTTTATGTTGTCCTGTCAGATGTCAGTCACACCATCCGCACTGCAGGACAGTACACTTAGCAGAGTCCGAGTCAATTTGCGGCTCTTCAACAGAGATCAACCCTACAAGCAAGTATGGTTTGAAAGCTTTGCTCTATTTGGAGGTCACAAAGAGCTGGCTTTGTGAGCTGTCTAATACACTTCTTACTATAGATGGATTCCGGGTGAATAAAATATATAAAATAGAGCATATCCTTCATGACTACTGAAAAATAACTACTGATTGTAGATCCGTAAAGTCAAATCATAGGATTCGCAAAGCTTTAGTTGAAGTATTAAGATTCTGTGAAATGCAGCACTTATGCATAAAAGTGTTATGTAAAAAGCTCCATGAAAATATTTCAAAAATGTTTTTGGATTCATTTATTTAAATTAGAATTTTTACACCTACAGCCCTTGTCTCTTTTAGTAGAACACGGTTAAAAGCATCACTCACTAGACTGCTTGAAAAATAATTTTTTTAAATGTGTGATATAATTATTTTCATCCTTTTGAGGATCATCTTTTAAAAAATTGCACATTTTAGGGGCACCTGGGTGGCTCAGTGGGTTAAGCCTCTGCCTTCGGCTCAGGTCATGATCTCAGGGTCCTGGGATCGAGTCCCGCATCGGGCTCTCTGCTCAGCGGGGAGTCTGCTTCCTCCTCTATCTCTCTCTCTGCCTACTTGTGATCTCTCTCTGTGAAATAAATAAAAAAAAATTGCACATTTTAGAGTTAAAAAAAAAGAAAAAAATTGCACATTTTATATAATGCATTCTAATGGCAATCCATCTAGACATGTCCCTTGAATTGGCAGGTATTTTATAAATTTAGAAAAATTTGCCTTTCAGCTGTTTCCTCACAAGGAAATTAAAGTCTGTCTCTGGGATTCTCGATACACATTTTGATAATGGAAAATATTTTTATTATTATCCCCTTTTCACTATCTCTAAACTAAAAGGTGACCTGCATTTAGAAAAGTTAGAATTAGGATACTAGTACTAGAGAAGATTTTACAGAAAATAGTGAGCAAATCTTGCTTTTTGAAATGATGCCTGCGTTATAATTGTTATTTTACTTATTTTATTTTTTGAAGTGTAACTGACATACAATATTATATTAGTTCCAGGTATACAACACAGTGATTGGACATTTATGATGTCTGTATTATGAATTTTAAATGTCTTTGCATATTGCCGAGGCAACATTTACCCATATTGATTTGTATATATGAAAACAAAATAATTTTCAACGCTCAATGTCAATGAACATTCTCTATACAGTTGACATTAAACAGGCTCTTCTTGCAAAGAGAAAAATGTTCGAAATGAATGCAAAAGCTTCTGTCAAAACCACTAACGAAAAAATTGAGCATGTTTGGAAGATACAGCAAGAAGAAAGGTGATGTAGTTGTTGTTGTTGTTGCTTTTTCAAGTCATGATGACATTTGTATCATTTCTTAGTATTCATTGGTGCAAATAACCTAAGACAAATTCTATCATATTGAATTTTTCCAGTAAAAAATAGATTTTGCTTGATCTTTTTCTAAGCGGATTAATTCTGTTAACCTCACTCCTTAACAGAATTGAGATGTATCTCCTAGAAGCCCATAAAGATTACCTTTTGTCCCTTTCAAATAACAATTGAGTTTTCTTCCTATGACATTAATTCATATTTATTCTAGACCTACACTACCTGAACTTCAGGTAAATGTCTTAAACCATTATTCTTGTGATAGTTAACTGTATTCAGTTATGTAGAAAAGGTTAATCTTACATTATAAATAATTTGCATATCTTAGCTAAATTGTGTTCACTGTTCTTTCTTAAAAATCATTGTTGTGCCAAAGAGGGGAAATATTTAAGTGAAATAGTCCTGTTTGGAAATCTTCTATGACAAATGCATATGATATCCTTATTGAATCTACTTATCGTATCAGAACATACATGTTCTTCAGTAAGAAGAAATGAAAAGTAAACTGCTTTTAGATAAAATGAATTCTTCTGGAAAATTGATAGCACAGTAAATCCTCACTAGTTTTTAAAGAGGTAAGGCATATGAGAGAGCTTATATGTTGGCCAGTTAGGAACAATACTTTTGGAATAAGAGTAAATTGTTCATGTGCCCTTTCTGTTTCCCATGAGACTATTTCAGCCGCCATTATGCTATTACTGCCTTCTCCTTTTATAGTGTAAATTGTGTCAAATCAATTTTGTTTTGAATATGGTTAGATTTTCATATCTTCTTGAAGTATGACAGTGCTTGTTATGGTTTACAGGCAGAATCTTCATCTCAAGTATTCTCAGCAGTTTCTGACTTTGCTTTGGGAGTGGGATACAGACATGCGGAAAACCCAGGAACAAGAAGAAAAACTAGCTGTTGGTACCAGCCTTGGCTTTAAAATTGATTTATTTATTGTATCAAAGTCTCAAGTAGCAATAGGTCATGCAAAAACACAGGAGAGAATGTAGAGTCCATGAGCCCAGATGGGTAAATGTGGGTAGAAGGTGTGGCGGTGGGAGACTGAATGTTCTATTTGGATTGCTTCTGTCTATTTAGTGATATAGGAAGGTCACCTGTCAAGAGTTAGAGTGGTGGAGGAGGTGTTCCCTTTAGGGGGCAGAAAAGAAGTCCTGGAATTGTTTCCTGAGAGCGGGCCAGCGAATGGACCAGGGAAATAACACTGCCAAGAAGCATTATGGGTTGAATTTAGGTTAGTGTCATAGTGATCATGAATTAAAAGTGAGACCACTCTGCGTGGTTGTGGCAGGGCAGCTGGAGAGTTGGATTTTCCAAGGTTGCAATTTTGCCACACAGAGTGACAGAGTGAAAGGGAGGCAAGGTACGTCTGCAAGTGCATGGGTATAATGATTGGGCATGGACTTTAAGCCAAGAAGGAGGAAAAGGGAGACTATGAGAGTGGGGACTGGGGACAATGAAAAGTCGTAGGATCAATGGGATGTTAATCCTGAAAGAGTATTGAACTGTAGTAAAAAAGGGAGAGAACTACAAACAGGGAGGTAGAGGTTGAATGTTGGGGGGAAAGTGGAGAACCAGTATAGTACAGTGGTCAAGAGCCTGGACTCTGGAACCATTTGCGGGGGGAACCAATCCTGGTTAACCCGTACTAGCTGTGAAATCAGGGACAAATTTTTATCTCTGTACCTCACTCAGTTTCCTCACTTATGAAAGGAGACGAGACATAGTAAGAGTACTACAATGAATCTTCGAGCACTACACCAAAAACTAATGATGTAGTCTATGGTGACTAACATACCCCAATAAAAATTAAAAAAAAAAAAAAAGAGTACTTGCCTCGTAGAGTTGTTTTGAGGATTAAATGAGATCATATATAACAAGTTTATTTAAAATGGTCCAGAACAGGGGCGCCTGGGTGGCTCAGTGGGTTAAAGCCTCTGCCTTTGGCTCAGGTCATGACCCCAGGGTCCTGGGATCGAGCCCCGCATCCGGCTCTCTGCTCAGCAGGGAGCCTGCTTCCCTTCCTCTCTCTCTGCCTGCTTCTCTGCCTACTTGTGATCTCTGCCTGTCAAATAAATAAATAAAATCTTAAAACAAATAAATAAAATGGTCCAGAACAGTACCTGACACACAGTTCCTATATAAGTTTCTGCTTTGATTAATTATTATGTAGATGTTGCAGTTATTGGGAATGACAGAATCCAGGGTATGACTATGTAAGTGAGTGACTAAAGTAGGGAAGAGGACAAAATTATTGCTGGAAATTATGTGAAGAAGCAGAGAGGCTAGGATCATCTGTATGCATACTGAAATGACCAAGAATTAATACATGTTTTGAATGTTGTTAAGAAAGAATATCTCTGGGACATCTGGGTGACTCAGTCGGTTAAGCGTCTGCCTTTAGCTCAGGTCATGATCCCAGGGTCCTGGGATCGAGTCCCACATCAGGCTCCTTGCTCAGCAAGAAGCCTGCTTCTCCTTCTGCCGCCACTGCCCCTGCTTGTGTGTGCTCGCTCTCTCTCTCTCTCTCTCTCCTCTCTCTGATAATAAATAAAATCTTGAAGAAAGAAAGAAAGAAAGAAAGAAAGAAAGAAAGAAAGAAAGAGAAAATTTCTTCCGTAACTACTGTTAGGAAGGATTATGGTATAGATTTTTGCCTACCTGTGGTAAACACATTATTGGAAAGGTCATTTGAAGTAAAAAATTAAAACGTGTTTTCAATATGGGTGAGAAAGGCAATCTCCTACTTAATGGCTATTAGGTAGGATCATCATACTGTTTTTGTATATTAGTGGTGAACACAATTACCTAAACTTGGTCATAAAAAGTTGTTAAAACAGGAAATGTTAACGAGTATTGATTTAAAGAATATTCCTTTCAAACTTGATGTGTAGTTACGTTTTATAAGTATTAAATGTTACTCACATTTTATCACCCTTTTCTATTTTAGGGTATGTTCCGAGAGCAACGAAAGATTCTTCAACAAGCTAGAGTTGTTCAGAACCAGAGACTGCAAAAAATTAAAAATCTATATGAGCAATTCTTAAAGGTCTGTTGTATTTGGCAACACAATATATTCTTATGAAACATCATGTGGAGGGGCGCTTGGGTGGCTCAGTCCGTTGAGCAACCGACTCCTGGTTTTTGCTGAGGTCATGGGTTCTGATTTCATGGATTGTGGGATTGAGACCCGCCTCGTGCTCCCTGCTTAGCGGGGACTCCGCTTGAAGATTCTCTCCCTCTTCCCCTCCTCCCACTTGCATGTGCACATGCTCTCTCTCTCAATCTCTCTCTCTCTCTCTCTCAAATAAGTAAGTACATATTTTTAAAAAATATATAATATGTACATAAAAGTGGAAGATACTTTGTTTCTTTCCAAATCTATGGGGAGGAAACATTTAGGTTATATGTCTATATTGTTAAACATTTTCCATTTGAAATTCATTGTTTTGGATTTAGCATAACTGGCAAATGCATTTTTATTTTTAGGATTAATTAATAGTTTTGTGGGAATCATTTAAAACAGGGAACTGTAAAGTGGGAATCTTACCTAGAAATATAGGTACTATGAAGAAAACTGGTACTTTATTAACACTTCAATCATAATTTTTTGCTCAACAATCAGTTTGGAGGAGATCAGCAATAAATATATAGTGAAAACTCAGAAGTCTATAAATCACTTCTACATGTCTTTCACTTGTATTAACGGTTTCTGTTAAATATGAGTAGGCAATTGTAATTGATGAATAACACTCTTATATTCAAATGTGTTACATGAGTGTTTCATGGCATATTTGCCTTTGGAATATTGGACTAATAATGACTTTATATGCATACTTAAAATCATAAGGAAAGGTCTAAATGTATAACAGAATGAAAAAGCGAGAAGAGGACTAAATGTTTATAAATTGAGAATGATCTGCTGTGATATTTGCACATTAGCAAATTGTTCTCAGTGACACAGACCTCTTCTTCACACAGATATATACGTATTTAGGAGGCGATGGAATCCTGCACATCCCCCCCTTTTTTTTTCTTGGTGTGTGTGGGCGGAGGCGGGGGCGGGGTGGGGGAGGAGGGGTGTGGGAGGTGTTACTTTACCTCTGCAACTGTACCTTAATATCTTTGAATTCCCGCTGCCACTGCCCTAGTTCAGGATCTCATCCTTTCTTTCTTATACTATTAAACTCTGATCTGAGTTCTCTCTTCTCCAGCCCATCCTTCACAGTTCTGCAATATGATGTTCCAAAACGTATACCTTCCCTCCTGAAAACCTGTCAATAGCTTCCCATTTTAAACACTCCGGAATTCAATGTCTGCCCTGTAACAAGACTCCCTTTGTAGTTTTATACTTATATTCCTCCTTTTCCTCCCACGCCTCCAGTACACTAACTCACCAACTAACCCACTCACTAAACTTACTTCCTTGTTTCTAGAGTACTTTCAATTCCCTCTTCCCTTTACCTACTGAAATCTTATTCTTTTGCCAACTAAATCAGAATCAATTTTATTTTCCAGTACACAGTCATGGCAAGTTGTGTTTCCTTAATCGTGTTGTTTTCATTTGCATGTCTTTTTATTCTCACTGGAATAGGGAAGGAAGAGATCGTGCATTCATTTTCAAATCCCTCCACAGCCCTTAACAGTACTTTTTATGTAGTATGCACTAGATCACTATTTGATTAGATTAAAGATGAAGAACATGTTTGTTTTTTCATGACCTAAAGAGGTCACGTTACAGGTCATTTTATTCCCGCCAATGGGATCATGTTACAGTGATTTTTACTCGTTATAAGTGCATTGTTACATGGTGTTTAGAAAGCTTATTAGAGAGTTTTGAAATTATGGTATTTCATTCTATGAGACTGTCAGTCCTTTTCTTTTCTTTCCTCCACCTTGACCTTAACTGTTTATAACCCATTGTTTCGAGCAAAGTGTACTACCGCAAAGTGTCTCTATAATAATTATATTTGACTCAAACACAACATTTAAAAAATTTCTTAAGTGGGTATTTTGATCTCCATGTATTAGGTGTAGTATTTTATTTGGAATAAATAATGAGCATCCTTTGAATATTAAGAACTGTTACTTTTGAAATTTAATTTTTTAAAGATTTTATTTATTTATTTTTGCGGGGGGGAGGGGGGAGAGAGAGAGAGAGAGAGCGAGCACAAGTGCATGAGCAGGGGGAAGGGCAGAGGGAGAGGGAGAAGCAGACTCCACTGAGCAGGGAGCCAGACGTGGGACTCGATCCCAGGACCCTGAGATCATGACCTGAGCCAGAGGCAGGCGCTTAACTGACTGAGCCACCCAGGCACCCCTTGAAATTTTTAATTCTACGTGTTTGGAGCATGAGATGAAAAGTGGTGATTTATAACTGAACAAGGCTTTTTGTTTTAGAGTATGCAGGACTTAGAGAAGGAGCATGAACATCTTCTTGCTGATGAACAAAATGAAGTTAGAGAAGAAATGACCAAGTTGCAAAACAAAATTATGATGGAAGCTGTAAGTAGTGTATATTTAATATCAAGAACACTTATTTTAAGTGTTAAGGAGGGATGTGAGCATTGGGGTATTTTGTTTGCCAAAATGTATATAACAATTACCTAAATAACATGCAAATGTTTAATATTTCCTTCCTTGAAACAGCAACGGCAAGAGCTGGCAATTGTTCAAAAGTCTCTTCATTCCTTGTTGTTCTGATGACTTTGAAGAAAGAACAGGAACCTAAGTTTTACAATACAAGTGTAACATTAGCTACGCCGAACCACGTTGTAGTAGTTTAAAAATTAGAGTTGAAATCCGTACATCTTGTTTATCATAGCTTTCTTGTTAAGTGCAAGAATCTTTTCTTGTTAAAACCCCAAACCCTGAACAGTTATGTGGGTAGCAGCAATTCCACAGTTATATGCATTGAGCTTTCAGTCCTTCATTAGTAATGGTGACTTTTTGTACTTAACACTGTCAATTAACTTTTAACAATAAGGGTGATTTAATTTTAGGCTTGGCCCCAGTGGATCGGTATCAGTCCCAAAAGTTTCAATGCACAAGTACAGAAAAAAGGCTACATTGCTTTTCAAAAGGAAAAAAAAAATTAAAGAATATAAAATCTATCTTATCCGTGTACCCGCTTGTATTTACTCATTAGTTTACAGAGACAATGCCAATAAAAATACGATTTCAGAAGAAAATGTACTCTACTGCCTTATAAAAATTATTGAAAGTAAACATGAGATGGTGTTTTTGAATAAAATGAACTGCCTAAAATCACTGGGCGAACAGAACTACATATATAAATACCAGTGCTGAGACATGGGTTTGTAGATATGTCATTTCCACAAAGACATCAAAATGTCATTTACTTGGTGTCGCTTCACTATTAAATGACACCTGCCTTTAGGATTGATCAAAAGTATTTCATTAATATGAACATACACTTAATTGCTTATGGTTTGAGTATTTCACATCTGTCTTTAAAGATAAATCACCTACAGTTCTTTGGTTTTGTTTTCAAGTTTAATATTCATTGAGTACGTGGAAAGTTGATTTTATATTTGAGAACTAAGAACTTGAATAATTAATTCTTATACATTTGCTTCCATAATGGGCATTTTTTTTACATTTAATAACATAACACCATCTTCACTTGGGCATGTCATTTAATAAACATGACATTGTTTCAGAATATATTTGGGATAAGTCAGTTAAATGTATTTTTTGTGAATTACTAAAATTGTTTTCATGTATCATTCAAAACAAAAACAATCCCATTTGGAGGAGAGGAATGATTTTCTCCTGTTTTTTTCTGCATGGTGTTTTGTTTTGTTTTACGTTAGTTCTGACCCCTATATACTACCACCCTTCTGTTTGTTTTGAGGTTTTTCCAAGTTTTTAAAAATAAGCCCATGTAAGATCTCATTTTCTAACTGCAACAATGTATACAGGAATAAATGAGTCCTCCACCACTACCCAGTATTTGACATTACAGGGAGAATTTAATTGCTCAATTTTGTGTGTTTGTAAAGCACTTTCCTTTCAAGCCAACACAGGTGTTGGTATATGCGTCTGAAGTTCTGTTCCAAACTTCTAATAAGGTCCTCATTTGGGAAGTTTTCTATTAGCTATAGAGACAAAAATAAGTACTCCAAAGGTCCCCCCATGAAAGTTCTCGTGTTCATACTAAGCCAGCTAATTTTATGTGAGAGCACAGAGACGATAATCAGTACATAATGTACTTAGTGTTCAAACAGTTGACATTTATTTCATCCCCTGACAACCTCAAATGAGTAAATACATACTCGAAGCAACTTTGGCTGATATTCTAAGGGGAAGAAATATTTTGCCGTTATAATTATTTATATATTTATACATAATTTGCCATTATATATTATTTGCATACATATTGCAACCCCCCACACACACACGTTCTAACATATATATTAGACTTTATTTTTTAAAAAGATTTCATTTGTTTATTTGAGAGAGAGAGAGAGAGAGAGAGAGAGAGCGAGAGCGCACATGAGAGAGGGAGAAGGGCAGAGGGAGAAGCAGACCCCCTGCGGAGGGGGGGGCGCCGGGGGGGGGGGGGGGGGAGGGGGGGGCTCGATCCCGGGACTCCAGGATCATGACCTGAGCTGAAGGCAGTTGCTCAACCAACTGAGCCACCCAGGTGCCCCTAGCTTTATTTTTTAAAACAGCTTTAGGTTCACAGCAAAATGGAGCAGAAGGCTTTTTTTTTTTTCCCACCCAAGTAGGTGGGTTTTACTTCAATTTCATCTTTCCACTACCTTTTACTGTAGTTGCTTTCAGGGAGAGCTCTCAAAGAGCGATGAACCATGAGAGACTTCGGACTCCGGGAAACAAACTGAAGGTTTTAGAAGGAAGGGGGAGGGATGGGTTGGCCCAGTGACAGGTATTAAGGAGGGCACGGATAGCATGAACCACTGGATGTTATATGCAAACAATGAGTCATGGAACACTACATCAAAAACTAATGATGGGGGCGCCTGGGTGGCTCAGTGGGTTAAAGCCTCTGCCTTCGGCTCAGGTCATGATCCCAGGGTCCTGGGATCGAGCCCCGCATCGGGCTCTCTGCTCAGCAGGGAGCTTGCTTCCCTCTCTCTCTCTCTCTCTGCCTGCCTCTCTGCCTACTTGTGATCTCTGTCTGTCAAATAAATAAATAAATAAAAATCTTTAAAAAAAAAAACTAATGATGTACTCCATGGTGACTAACATAACACAATAAAGAAATAGAATAAAATTAAAAAAGGAAAGATGATGGAAATGAATCCTGTACTGGCTTATTTAAACCAGAAGGTATTTTAGGAATCCAATAAAACTAGGTGGAATTCAGTTCTTGGTACTTGTTTTAAGTAGTTAACAGTGTTAATTGTGGACCTTCTGTCTGAAACCCAACCCTGCAGGACCACCCTGCAGAACACACACACACACACACACACACACACACACACATCTCTTCACAACTTGTTAATTTTATTTTAACCATCACTGTGGGTGTACCCTGTTGGCTTATGGTTGGTCTCTATGTGGTTAGCCATTTCTCAGGGACCAGACCTCAGAGACTTGGCAGATAATTTATGGCAGCTAGTAACACTTAAAATGTTTAAATGTTTAAAGCATTGCCTGAAGTCAGATGGCTTTGATAATTATAATTTTTCCTGATTACAAGAGTAATTTATGATTGGTAACAAAAAGTATTTAAACTTGGGGTGCCTCTGTGGCTCAGAGGGTTAGGCCTCTGCCTTCAGCCAAGGTGATTGGTCTCAGGGTCCTGGAATCGATCCCCGCATCAGGCTCTCTGCTCAACAGGGAGCCTGCTTCCCCCGCCCTTCTCGCTCTGCCTGCCTCTCTGCCCACTTGTGATCTCTCTCTGTGTGTCAATTAGTAAATAAAATCTTTTAAAACAGTATTTATACTTCACAGAAGTGCATGAAGTAGAAAGTAAGTGTCTCCTGTCACCTCAGTGATAATTGCTATTAGCAGTTTGATCCATGCCACTCAAGGATTTCGCCCACCCTCCCCCCACCCGCAAACCCCCCCCCACCGCCTCCCGCCCCTCTACATACTGAAAGCTGTGAGCTTATGTTTCTCTCTAGCATTCTTCACTTAGTACTACAGTCAGACAATAAGTTAATCATGGAACTTAAGTCCAAAAAAATGTAAAGCCAATAGATATTTCAGATATTTCTGCATCTTTGGTGCTTAATACAGGAGTAGCTATCCTCCATAGTCAGGAATTTTATTTATAAACCCTCACCTGTTGTTTGCTCTCCCTCCTTAGACTAGATGTAACTGAAATTCAGGTAGCTTCATTGATCATCTTTGTGATAATTCCATTTTGAGAAGAAACAATGTGGGGTTATATGGTAAATATGAGCATTTAACATTATATTTAAGAACCTGTGAAATATTCGGAAAAATAATATTGCGTTGCTGGATTTTCTCAAAAAAAAAATCTCTGGGCTATGTTTGTGCTGATTCCATCCCTGTACCTCTTTTCTTCATTCTATAATTTGGTTATCCTATATCCTGTGCACATTTTCCCCCTATGTGTTGAATGTTTTACCATAGACAAGCAAATGACCTCATTTCCCCAAGACAAAATTAAATGCAATAGTTGAACTATCTTTTATGGGATAAAACTTATCTCATACATTAAATGTTAAAACAAATAAATCCAGTATAATAGTCTACGTGTAAAACTTGTAACTCCGTATTAGGAAAGAAAAGCTGATAGTCTGCTTTTTTTTTTCGGGAAGCAGGGGCGGTACTGACATAAAAACAGACACATAGACCAGTGGAACAGAGTAGATAGTCTGCATTTTTAATAAACTACTATGAGGTGAAGGTTCTCATATTTGAACCTCATACAATGTTTTATTTTCTGCTTGGTTGCTGACCTCAGTACTTGAAAAGAGTGGGTTCCTAAGAGGCCACTGTCATCGAATCAAGCTTTGCCTAGGAAGAAATCTCACAGAGAGAACAAACTACTCTGCCACAACAGCCTCAGTCCATAATACTGGCTAAGTGGCTAATACATGCCCGCCGTCTTAAGAAAAAGAACAAGGGCGCCGTTTAACATTTATTCAACACCTACTATGTGCCTACAGGTTTCTCCCTCCCTGCTTCATCTGACTCCCTGAATCATCTGGTGTTTTTTTTTTAATACTATTTTATACATAGACAAGAACAAATCAATTTTAGCAAACACAAATTTCGGTTGATGGTTCTAGATTTAGGAGATTTCATACCTAATTAATTTCATTATTTGTTTTAGATTAGCAGTGCTGGGGGAATCCTGATTAACATGGATAAAAATGTAATGGGCTGCCTTGTACAATTTTACAGCTTAGATATTTGCAGTCAGACTGCAGAACACGGTGTTTGTGAGCAGACACCAGGGCAGAGTTACACTCCTCCTATACAGTGATGGTGTGTTTTTCCAGAATCGGCAGGACAAGCATCCTTTAGATATCTGCACAAAGACGTATTAACTGGATAACCCACGTGCCGATGACCTTTGACATAGTAAAATATATGTAGGATCAATCCCATTGTTATCTGTTAGCTGGTCACTGGTGTAAAACACTGCATGTGTGTAAGGTTGGCCCAAACCTCTGTGGCCCTGTGTGACCTCTGAGTAACACCATAAGGCTCTGTGTAAGTCTGGGAAGTGCAGCTCT